TGGCAAAGTTTGAAATCGAAAAATTCAACGGGAGCAATTTCTCATTGTAGAAGTTGAAGATAAAGGCTATCTTAAGAAAAGATAATTGCCTAGTGGCTATCGGTGAAAGGCCGAGAGAATACATAGATGACAATAAGTGGAATGAGATGGATGGAAATGCTATTGTAAATCTTCATCTAGCATTATTAGATAAAGTGTTGTCAAGCATAGAGGAGAAGAAGACGACGAAAGGAGATCCGGGATCATCTCACTAAGTCTGTATGAGGCCAAGTCACTCCACAACAAAATTTTTATTAAGAGGAAACTCGTATACTCTTCGTATGGTGGAATCTACTTCGGTGACAGAGCATGTCAATACTTTGAATACTTTATTTTCTCAACTCACATCGTTGGGTTATAAAATAGATCAAAGTGAACGTGCTGAACTTCTACTTCAAAGTTTACCGGATTCGTATGATCAACTCATCATCAACTTAACAAATAATATCCTTACGGATTATCTAGTCTTCGATGATGTTGCGAACTCGCTATTTTGGAAGAAGAAAATCGACGCAAGAACAAAGAAGACAGGCATATGACTTTGCAACAAGCGAAGCCTTGACGGTGATGAGAGGGAGATCAACGGATCATGGCTCAAGTGGGAGCTATAATCATGGTAGGTCAAAATGAATAAGTAAAAAGAGTTTTAAATGCTACAACTGTGGCAAGAAAGGTCACCTAAAGAAGGATTGTCGAGTTTGAAAATTTTCAATTCTCAAGGAAATGTGGCAAGCACTTTAGATGATGGAAACGCTCTGTGTTGTGAAGTAGTTTCGTCACATAGTGATAGAAAAAGATTTACCGATGTATGGCTATTCGACTCGGGAGCTACGTTTCATATGATCTCTAGGAAGGAATGGTTCTATCATTATGAACCTATCTCGGGAGGATCTCGTGTACAGATTGCAATGATCATGCTCTAAAGATCATTGGCATTGGAACCATCAAGTCGAAGATGTATGATGGTACAATTCATACTATTCAACAAGTGCGGCATGTGGAGGGCTCGAAGAAGAACTTGTTGTCTATAGGACAACTGGATGATCTTGGATACAAGATCGATACCGAGAAGGGGATCCCGAAGATAATCAAAGGAGCGCTTGTACTTATAATCAAAGGAAGCCGCAAACTTATACATGTCGAAGGGAGAGACTTTACAAGAAGCGAAGCATCGGTTGCTTTAAACAGTTCGAGTGAAAGATCCGTAATAATGTGGCATCGAAACTTGGACATATGTCCGAACAAGAAATGAAAATCCTTGCCGAGCAAAAGCTACTTCGGGACTCACAAAAGTATCTTTACCCTTTTGTGAGCATTGTGTTATCGCAAGCGGCATCGATTGAAGTTTAGCACATCAAATTCTAGAAGCAAGACTATTCTAGAATTGGTTCACTCGATGTGTGGCAAGCACCGATTCCATCCCTAGGAGGAGTGAAGTACTTTGTGTCCTTCATTAATGATTATTCTAGGAGATGCTGGGTGTATCCTATCAAGAGGAAGGGAGATGTGTTTTCGGTCTTCAAAGTTTACAAAGTGCGGGTTGAACTTGAATCCGGAAAGAAGATCAAGTGTTTGAGGATGGATAATGGAGGAGAATACACTCGGTGATGAATTTAATACATTCCGCAAACAAGAAGGTATCAAAAGACAGTTCACGGTTGCATACACTCCGTAACAAAATGGAGTGGCAGAGAGGATGAATAGAACCTTGTTAGAAAGAACAAGAGCTATGCCGAGGACTGCAGAGCTTAGGAAAGGCATTTTGGGCGAAGTAGTCAATACCGCTCGTTATATTGTGAATCGATCCCCATCAACTACAATTGAGTTGAAGACACCGATGGAGATGTGGACTGGTAAGCCGCTTGATTATTCAAATTTCCATATATTTGGAAGTCCTGTGTACGTGATGTACAATGCCTAAGAAATCACAAAGCTAGATCTAAAATCCAAGAAATGCTTATTCTTAGGGTATGTCGATGGAGTCAAGGGATATCGCTCGTGGGATCCCACTGCCCACAAGGTTATTGTCGACAGGAAGGTTATCTTTGTAGAAACAGATCTACAAAGGAAAGAACAAGGTAATAGCACTTCGTAAACTACAAAGGTACATGTGGAAAAAGATCCCGAACAAAAGGATCCTTCGAAGCAACACCGGAGTACGAGAGAGAGGAACCAGTTGAGTCCGAAGTTTCGTAACCCCGACGGATCGATCGCACAAAAAGGCGACTCGATTGGCATTCGGAATATATTATAGAGAGCAATGTTGCATACTCGTCTTTTAACGAGAGGAAGGAGAGCCATCAACTATCCAAGAAGCAATGAACAACTCAAATGCATCTCTGTGGATGGCAACGATACGCAGAAGAAATTGAAGCTCTTCACAAGAATAAGACTTGGGAACTTATGACATTACCACAAGGAAGAAAGCCCATTGGTAATAAATGGGTTTACAAGATCAAATGAAATGCCGATGATCGAGTAGAGTGATATCGTGCAAGGTTGGTGGCGAAAGGTTATGCTCGAAAAGAAGGGATTGACTTTAATTAGATATTTTCTCTTGTGGTTCGACCGACAACAATTCGAGTAGTCCCGGCAATGTGTGTTATGTTTGACTTACATCTAGAGCGAGTTAGATGTGAAAACGGCTTGTCTTCATGGTGATTTTGAAGAAGAGATTTATATGCTCCAACCATAAGGTTTTGAAGAAATAGGAAAAGAGAACTTGGTTTGTAGGTTGACCAAATCTCTTTACGGTCTAAAACGAGCACCGAGGTGTTGTACAAGAGATTTGATTCATTCATCATGAGCCTTAGATACAACGGACTTAATGCGGACCCTTGTGCATATTTCAAAAGGTTTGGTGAAAGTAATTTTATTATCTTGTTGTTGTATGTCGACGACATATTGGTAGCAAGCCCCAACAAAGATCATGTCAAAGAATTGAAGGCACAGATTGGCTAGGGAATTTGAAATGAAGGACTTAGGACCAGCAAACAAGATTCTGGAGATGCAAATTCATCGAGATAGAAATAATAGAAAGATTTGGCTTTCTCAAAATACTTATTTGAAGAAGGTCTTGCGACGTTTCAACATGCAATATTGTAAGCCAATTTCTACCTCACTTCCTATTAATTTCAAGTTATCCTTCGAGTATGAGTCCTAACGAGTGAAGAAGAGAGGATGGAGATGTCTCGAGTACCGTATGCATCAGCGAGTGGGAAGTTTAATGTTCGCTATGATTTGTACAAGGCCGGACATTGCGCATGCAAGTAGGAGTGGTTAGTCGGTACATGGCGAATCCCGGTAGAGAGCATTGGAATGCGATAAAGAGGATCCTAAGATACATTCGGGGAACCTCGGATGTTGTATTATGTTATGGAGGATCGAATTTACTCGTCGGCGGTTATGTTGATTCCGATTATGCGAGTGATATGGATAAAAGCAAATCAACTACAAGTTATGTGTTTACACTTACCGGTGGAGCCGTAAGTTGGGTTTCTAAACTGCGATCGATTGTGGCTACGTCAACAACGAAGCGAATATGTAGCAGCCTACACAAGCCAAGAAAGAGGCGATCTGTTGAAGATGGTATTGGAGGAACTCGGCATAAACAAAAAAAGATTTCTTTGTTTTGCGACAGTCGAAGTGCCTTGCATCTTGCAAGGAATCCAGCCTTTCATTCAAAGACAAAGCATATACGAGTACGAGTATCACTTCATTCGTGAGAAAGTGGAAGAAGGAACTGTGGATATGCAAAAAATTCATACCAAAGACAACCCGGTAGATTTTATGACAAAGGCAATCAAAGCCGATAAGTTTATTTGGCGTCGATCCTCCTGCGACTCGATGAAGACATAAGCAACATGGGAAGACAAGATAGAAAGAATAGTGTGAAGATCCGATTGACTCTCAATCAAATCTTCAAATGGGAGATTGTTGAAAAACAATAATAAACAAAACAAAAGGGGATTTTCGTGGATAATTTGTTCACGGAATCCCGGCATGCAACTGCATGCAAGCTAGATCACAGCTTGTAAAATGCAAGCTATGACCAGCCTTGTACCACCTAAATTGAGGTGGTGCAAGCAAGGGAGAGGTCTATAAATAGGCCTCTCCACCTTAATTTGATATATCCCACCATCCCATCTCAAAGAAGGAGAGAGAAAAATATAGAGAGTGATTTTTCCTATTTCAAGAGAGAAATTTATTGTTTTCTCCTTATAGTATGAGAGAGGGTGTAACTCCTATTATTTTTCATAGTGAAATTCTTCTATCTTGTCCATGGTTTTTTTCCTTAATTTGTTTAAGGGTTTCCACGTAAAATCTGTGTGTTCAATTTCATCTTTATTTCTCAAATTTAATAGTCTGCGACCTCGCTCTATTCGGTCAAAAAGACAACAAAAGGAACATTTGATGTGAGATGAAGGTATCAAAATAGTTTTATAAGACGGAACATAGAACAAGCCGGATAATTTATGCATATACATTGTTCGAGTATAATATGTATCAAAATATTCAATTTAATGAACATAAACACAGCTTTATAAGACAGAATTGCATATCTTAAATAAGTAACGACCGTTATTTAACAAAATCGGCCAAGGTTGTTACCGTTGTTCACCGTTATACCCGAGTATAACCTCTATTCATTGTTATTTGGTGAATAATGTTCCAACTAACCTTTGTTATATTATTATTCTGAAAAAAAAAAAAAGTGTTATGCTAAGGCCTACCAAACTAACAACATGTTGTGGAATGTTTGTTTGCATTTGCTTGTAAATGGTCGTTTAAGAATGTGAAGACAAAAGTACTAAGCTAAGGTATTATGCTCGAAGATAAAGAAGATATAGAAAACCCATAAACAACGAGGTTCACTAACCACGAGAGGGAGAGGCTAGGGAGAAGACCAAGTTTTTTGGTCGAAAAATAGAGAGAGGGTAGCTCGAAAGAAAAAGGAAACGATGGAGGAAAATCAAGAAAGAAAGTAATAAGATATAAATACGGTAGTTACTCTCCAACTTGCACCCTATTTACTATTATATGATTTATGATCACCATTTTGCATTGAAAATTCATTTTCTTTTGAATCAAAGTAACCGAGATCTCTCGCAAATCAAGCCTCTTTGGTTGATCTCTTGTGATTTAAAAATAAACATTCACTCACATTTTTTGCTGGCAGCTTTGCCTTTCAAATGCTATGAATATATAAATCAAGTCTACTCGTTTTCCCATTTCGTAATATCCATTAATTTACTCGTTGTTTTCCCATGTTAACTCGTCATCTTTAATGGTAGTTTTTTTTTTTTTTTTTGGGAATATAATGTTATGTAACCTATTATACACATTTGAAATTAGGAGTAATTTTTTTTTTAATAATTTGTTAATTATATAGCTATTACAATTATTGGCAATTTAATTTATTCCTTATGTTAGACATCTTTAATGAGTTAATATCATGGCATGAAATTTTTGAATTTTGCTACTTTGTGGTAGATGATCGATCTCTTATTAGTTCTAATTGTTTGGCAAGAAATAAATAAAGCAATCATATATACACTAGGGCTCAACCAACAACAATTTTGGAAGCATACAATCCTAAAGTGAAAATGGAGAGATATAAAGCAAATATCAAAGTGCTAGAATATCTTGACTCTAAAGCAAAATGCCAGAATGCATGATACTTATGATAGTTTTAAATTGTGGTGGTGTCTTAGATTCTAATTTCATATCGTAATTTATTGTAATAGTAAAATAACGATTGCGACAATTAATGTCGTAAATACATTAATAGCTGTTAAAATTTTAATACTAAAGCAAAAAAAAAATTTTTTTTTAATAATAATAATAAATAATAGCTATTATTGTTATTTGAATGAAAGATATTGAGTTTTTTTTTAATAATTTATAATGTTGTATAACAGAAACAAGCATGCCCGAATCCGTTAAATAATAGTGGTTACATATTTGGAACTATGATACCTATCACCTAGCTAGTGCCTAGTGCATCTGTGTTCCCAACTTCATCATCAAAGATGAGCGACGGCTGGCTTGATGGTTTACATGGAAAAACAGCAGGAAAATTACCATGTCGAAAGGTCAAAACAGTTTCTTAAATGCAGATACATGGCAAGTTGTATTTGCATCAAAATCTAACATTTACGTTCTTTTTAACCAAAAGTACACGTTTGTATGGTGAATCAAGACCAAACTTAAGGTGATTGTGAGTGAATTAGTGTTCACTTTCAAATCAAAAGAGATTAACAAATGAGGCTTTGTTTTCGACGAATTACAGCACTTAATCTTGGCATTTGTAGCTCCTCCAACAAATGGAAAGATGCAGAAATCTGGATGACATTAAAAACCAGAAAGGTAGAGCATCATCAAGATCAAAGCTATCCAATTATGAGTAAATGTGGAAGATCTTCTGAACAAAAAGAAGTATACTTCTTAAACCTAGCTACCGCTCTAATTAACCTGGGAGAAAAAGAACATTTGTCAGAGGTAACAAAAAGGCAGAAAACTCCCTGGTATCAATGGATTTCCTTAGTGTTTTGGCCTAAAACAAGCTCCAGTTTATGCTCCCACGACAGAAATTCATATAATGAATTCAATCTCTCCATGGAAACACTTATAAACAACAATTGTATCTTAAAATAGAAAGTTCAGCAGCAAGCCTCAGCTTTTCCAAGTGAGCAAGATAATCAAGAGAAAAGGGTGTAATCCTCCGTGCTGATGAGATCTTTTAGGAATAGGAAGAAAATAAAAACCATTAAAAAAAAAAATCAAAAACAGGAAGAAGGATTGGATTAGTTAAGTTGAAAAGGTTCTGCCTATCACTGACTGGCACCATTTCTTCCTCATGCATCACGAAGGACACCCCAAATATCCCATTTCATATCCTCATCCCTCCATCTCATCTGAACTCAAAGATTCCACATTGACTTCGCAATGAGGCATGTTTTGAAATGTATCTGAACTTAAGAAAAAACGCAATCAAACTTGAAATTAAATGTTTTGAGTTCAAGAAGAGTAACGATAGTTTCATAAAAAAAAATAAGAGATACAATAGTCGACCAGAGGGCTGATGTGACCTGACATAGCAATGCAGGAATAGTTAAAAGATAGATCGAATGGATGGAGAAGAAGGATTTGTCGAAAAGGTGCAGATTGTGACATAATAGCATTGGAATTGATGCTTCATGAGACGGTCAGGGTGTCAGGTGGAAGTGAAGACTGAAGAGAGCTAGTGAACTCCTCAATCTTGTCAAAATGAGCCCCTTTATTAAACGCTTTGACACTGTCACTTTCCCAACCATCCAACTCCTCCGCGCCGTCCTCTTCTTCCTCTGTGGATGAATTTTCTACAAGGAAAGGAGACCAATCAAACTCAGGACTTTCTTCAACTATTTTCAAGCCATCGTCAGTTCTACCAATGGAGTTTTGAGCAATCAAAATCAAACTCAAAAGTCATGTCATGTTTTTCCAAATCTGTAACTTGGACCGTTGCCAAAGATTTGACATCAAAATCAAACTGTTGTGCCATCAGGTCTTGTTAACACACTACCAACTTCCACTGGATTTGTGATTCCTCCTCTGCCTCTACCTCTAAACTCTTCTTCACCGAGCCGGAACTAGAACTAGAAGTAGAACCCATAATGCTCTCCTTTCTCTCCGTTTTTTCCCCATGAACATGAATTTGAGGGCTTAAATATTTTTTTGAGGAATAGCAGTATGTCTTCTAGCAATTAACAACGAACTTTTTCAATTTAGAAGTTCATTTTAAGATATTGATAAATAAATAAAAATGTAAATTCCAATAATATATGTTCTTAGGTTAATCGCTTAAACAAACTTTGAGCAACACAATCACCATTATCTAGTGAAAATTTCATAAATATAGTCATCTAAATCGCCTTTTTTTTAACATTCCGAGATTTCTTCGAGGATTTCTTAACCTAGCTACTTGAAGCTGTCTTGAATTCCTTAGTCTTCGGGATCCAGTACCTTTAACATGAACAGAGACTTCCCTAGTCTTCAACCTAACATGGTGGTGGCCATGGTTATCTCGACTGCCATACCTGCTTGAAGGATAGAAAGACCTCCGTGACCCTGACCGAAGTTTTCTTCTTTCCATTATTGACTTCCTTTTCCTACCAAAATGACGATAATCTTCCGAAAAATCAGTTTCAGAACTTGAAGTGTAGCCAGCTTCAATGTCTCGGAATCTTCGGCGTCTATTCACTCGCTTTGTGTTCTTCAACTTGTGCCACAAGAAACAGGTTATATCTTCTAAAGCAAACCAGTATGCCTCACACCCAGCCCAACACATCTTGCAAAGGCTTTTTCCTATGCATTGGCAAATCCCAATCTTGAACAATAGGTAGAAGAACATCAAAGCTGCAATTCGTAAAGACAAGACATGAAATCATTCACTTCATTTGAGGATTTTTGTATCTAAAACAAAGCAAAACAAAAGATTACTTATGTAGGAGAGGCCGAAGACCATCAACAGTTTCAACAGATCGGAGACGCATAAGTGTTCGATGAAACAAATCAAGTCCCATGGTCCAGAACAAACATCCCTGCAGATTCAAACCAGGAAAATCCATGATGCATGCACTAATGCCAACATAATTATTCAACTTTTGAAGCACAGAACAAAATCATTGAGAAAATAATAGTACATACTCGCATGACACGCCGAATATAGTCTTAATAGGAACTGCAAAAGCATTTCCAACAACACCTCCAATTCCATTAGCAGCTTGACTAATGACAGACCCCATTTTCAAATAACTACAAAATCATCTACTGCCCCTTTCAAAAATCAACATTAATTCCTTCCTGCTCATCATCAAAACACAAGAAATGGTAATAATTAAACAAACCCTATTTCCAAAATGCTGCATTTTGTGACTAATTTTTCTTATTCACTATAAAAAAACATAGACAGACAAAATCAAGACTTTGATTACTAATACTTGTACAGTTGTAATAACAATAAAAAGGACGCAAAACAAAGAGACCCCATTATGTGAAAATTAAGAAAAATAATTTAAGACTAAAAAACTGAAACAGAAATGGGGAAAAGAAAAGAAAATAAATCAATGCCCTGACTGACCTCTAAGTCTCATCAAAGCCAAAGAGGGTACAGAGAGAGAGAGAGAGAGAGAGAGAGAGAGAGGAGAAACGGTTTTTAACGGTGAGGAAAGGTGTGGGCTCTAATATATGCTACTGTTTGGAGTTATGCTTAGGCCCATGTCAAGCCCACATTTTGAATATCGGAGAAGTTAGATTAAATTATAAATTAGTCCCTCTTGTTTTACAAAAAGAATTAAGTACTCCCTCTATTTTAAAAAAATAATTAATTAATCTTTATATTTTTAAATATATTTGTAACTTAATCTTTTTGTTCTTTTTCAATTTTTTTTTTTTTGTGAAATAGAAAAGAAAAAATAAGTAAAAGAGAATTTGAAAAGAAGATATTTTTGAAAGAAAGTAGCATTAAATTAACTATGGTCAATATTATTAAAAGACTAATTAATTAATTTTTAAAATAAAAGAGATTATTTAATTCGTTTTAAAAAACTAAAAGAGTTAATTTATAATTTACTAGGAGAAGTTAACTATTTCCCAATAGAAAAAAAAAAAAAGGCAATACAACAATTTTTTGGAGTCAATTATAACTTATTATTTTTATTATTCTTTGTAGTTTAGAAAAACTAAATAACTAACACTCACTGTTTGAGAAACTATATCCTCAATTTATATATTTTAAAATTTATTTATAATTTAGTTTGTTTTTCAATTTTATGTTTTTTTTTCCTTTGAAAATAGAACAAGAAAAAGGAATTAAATATAAAATAAGAAAACTAGACCCAGAAGGAAGACAATTTTTTGAACAAAAAACTACTAAATTAAGGATGACTAACATCAATCAAGGGACTATTTAATAATGTTTTATACCACAAGGACTAAGTTATAATTAACTCGTGTTTTGGATGTTATTATATGAATAATTTCTTTTTACCTCCCATTTTAAGACCATTAGTTTATAAAGAATTCACTAAATAAAAAAACAACGGATTTGCGAGGAGGAATTAGCAACGATCCAAAAACGGTCGCTAATTCCTTATTTTTTATATTTATATATATATTTTTTTTGTAGTGGATGATAATTCCTTCTTCTTCTTTTTTTTTTTTTTTTTTTTTGGTAGTGGATGATAGAAAGAAACTGTGAATTGATACTTGATTTATCTTGTACATATACCCCATTATTTAACATAATAAAATGAACAAAAGAAAAGACTCATCTTTCTTGTATATTACATTTTTCGGCAGAAAAATCATCACTACTATATAAGGAAATGGGTGCAGGGAGGCCATTAGAGACCTTACATGCTAAAATTAAAGACCTGTAGAGATGAGGAATACCTCTGCATTAGAGAGGCTCCAAGTTCAAACTAGAGAAAAACAAAATTGTTGAATGAAGCAGGCCACTTTGGTTAAGCAGTCAAGTAAGCTAAGCAACCCTGGTACCATTTACTAGGGGATAAAACCATTTCTTCATTTACTGTGGTATGCTATTTACAGAGAAACAACTCTTATGATACAACACTACTTTTCAGTTCAGTGATGTGTTGAGGAAAGGGGAACAGGCATCCCTCCACAATCCATAAAATCGGCAGCGAATTCCTCATCATTTTTGGCGAGCATGTCTTTTAAGCTACATTCAATATTCCTTCCCTTTAGCAACCAAAATCTGGGCTTTATCTTCTTCTCCAACGAGTAACTAAAATACCGCGGGTAACCCACTACATCTTCTACTGGTTTTTTCATGGTGTTCACTAGGAATTCATACTTTGGTCTCAAAACCTCATCTATGCTGTACCCTAGCAAAGGAGAGAACCTGCGGACCATGAATGCAATATCCTTCTTTGAGAGTCCGACCTCCTTTAAGTATTTCATCCTGCCACCACACAATACGACTAGTAAAACACGCAGTTCAAGAGAGCTTTGACATGACTCATGGAGTGAAATTCTGAGAAATACATAGCAATGATAGATATTAGGTTTCAGACCCAGGACTTGAGCATCGGAATGGCCAATCTATAAAAGAGCTCGGGGATAAAATGCAAACAAGGCAATCTCTGGATGGAGGAACTGATATGACACAGAAAGAACTAACCCAAAGAAGATGTGACGATCTATTAGAGGATATCAGGACAAAAGCATTACCGAGGAAGTATAGTTTTGTTGATGTCAGAGACAAGAAGCTCAGGGTACTTTTTAATAACCCGAGGAAGATGGTCTTTAGAAACACCAATTTGAGCTAGGAATTCAATCTTCTTCTTTAGAGTTTTCTCAATGCTTGCCGCAAAAATCTCAGGACAGCGACTGGCTACCTGCCCCACAGTTTCCCAATCAAATCCGAGATCTTCCAAAAACAAAACCACCTGTGCATTGTAGTATTAGTAGTTTATTATATTCAAGAAAGAAAAATGCAGAGAGAACCATGCAGTTTATATCATGAATGTTTCCTCCCTGCTGCAAGATAAAAAGGATCAGAGGTCATTGTTTTATTTTTCATCCAAGTTTAAAAACATAAGGACCATGCTATCCCACAGGGAAACCAAATCAAGTACTTGGATTCTATAGCATGTTACAGGGTTGGTTAACAATAATTCAAAAATTATTAGAATTTCATTAAACATGTCACTAAATCTCACACGCTAACTAGCATACCATTTGCTCATGTGAAAATTGTACTTTTACTAGGCTCACTATCATAAAATATCCAAAAAAGAAATCAAGAGCTGAATCCTTTAGCTATACTGGAGTGTGACAGCCAATTGCTTCACTAAGAGTAGTGGTTGATCATCCAGTTATGCTTCTTATCTTCTTTTTTTCTTTTTTTGTCTTCTATTTGATAGTTGAATCAAGTCAGTGACATTCCCCATCCAAAAGTACCGATGCCAACCTTACTATTAAGGTAAGACGTAATTGGCCCTGAGTGCTACTTATTCATCCTCAAAACATCCTACTATTTTATTCTGAGATGCAGCAGCCCAAGCCAACATCTTTGGAAGATCTCCAAGGAGGCATTAATCTACATCTTAACTTTTTGGTTGTCAGTTTCGCACATCCCGTTGGTTTGTCCTATAAATATCCTTAAACATCTCTCCCCCTTGCTTTTCCCGAATAAATACTTGTTGATTTCCTTAGAAACCAAAAAACCAATGGAATGTACAGCATCCATCTAAGAAACTGATCTAAAAGCTAATAAAACAGCAAAGATGACAATGGCATTGTTGATTGCCAAATGTGTTTGTTCACGTTAAACTAGGATAAAAATTAGTAATTACATACCTGGAGAAATTCTTGGGGTTTTCTCAGTAGTAATTGAGGACTCCTGGAAATAACCTGACCCAACTTATTGTTTCTAATGCCCAACTCACCAAACTGTTCCACCATCACCTTAAGCTTGCTAGTTGAACAGCCTAATATCTGAGGCCAGCTTCTTATTGCTTTGTCAACACATGATTTGTCTACCTGATGTCAGACATAATAGACTATCAGCTATTTGATTAATCAACATAGCAACACAAAACAAAGAAAAAGAAAGGTCGCACCAATGGAGCTGAAGAGTGAAGTATATGAGTAGATACATACATCCACATTGAACACTAGCATGCAGAATTACTGAATATTAATAATAGGATAATGGTAGTGGGGCACAAGAATGAAAGATCTCCAGCAAAACCTATAGCTTTAGTTACACTCTTAAAATCAAAATGCTAAACACAAACTGTTCTAAATTAGTCTGGAAATCATTTTACTGTTTCCTTCACTTAAATTACAAATTACATGGTACACCATGTATTTTATATATTTTTCTTTCAATCTTGGGTTTCAATTTTCAATGATGTTCTTACAAGAAGCAATAATGCAGACTTCTCCAGCATGGTATTGCCACAAAAGTAACAGATTCCAAGGATCAGCATCAGCAAGTAAGCATTGCTTTATGCAATATTCTCGTGAGAAACATTAACAGACTTCAAAGAACAAGCATCAGGAAGTAAGCATGTCCTTATGCAATATTACCTTCTCCATATCAAAGAAAGAAACAATCTCCTTGTAATTATCTTGGATTGCTGTTGAAAGAATCCAAGGGTATTTCAGAAGCATTTTACCAAACTCTTTATCCACTGCCCCAACCTGAAAACAACGGATGAAAAGATTCTTTTATATAACAGAAAGGCAAGATATAAACAAACTAATAGCATATAATCCATCTAATGAGACTACTCTGTTTTTTCCGTGCATAAACTAATACAAATAACATGAGAAAAATGGAATTCATTGTTTCATACATGGAAAGTTACCTTCTTGAGAGCCAGAAATTTTCTTTTCATGCCCGTAATGTCACAGATTATAACAGGTGGAAATAATAGGAATATCTTTCCCATACGCTCCTTGGGGACTCCAATACTTTCAAGAAATTCCACCATAGGCTTCAAGTGTGTGTCTATTGGCAACAAAAGAATACGTGGAAATGATTCGACTAGACATCGAAAAGTGGCATCTGAAGAACCCAACATATCTAAACCTCCACGCCTCGCTTCAACCTACATCATAGCACAGCAAGCTTATCTTACAATCTGAAACCAATCAAACAGAATGCCCAGCCATGTTCATTAGTTCCTCTTAAAAGAAAATTCTTGGGCTACGGCTCAAGAAAAAAATGAAGAGAAATTCTTTCAAGTAAAAGGCTGAAGATATTTTCCATGATGCGAATTCTAAATGAAGAGAGAACCATGCTGACCTTTTCAAAAAGTGACAAGGTCTGCTGCAAGTCTTCATCAGTAGGTATTGATAAGTTCATCATCATATAGCGAGCATATTTTCCAACAAGCCTTTTATCATCACTGTCAGAAAAGAACATTTCCTTCATATAATTAACCTAAAAGCCAAATAAAAAATAAGCAACAGCTCTGCAGAATGAATAGAAAGAAATGGTTATCCACATAAATAAAAGCAAGGAGCTTTCCCCTAAGAAAAATGAAAAGGATCAAGTTTTTCAACAAAATTCTCCTCTAACTAGTACAATCTTTGAAATGAAGAAATATGATGCCAAAGCACAATGATACAGAAAACTAAAGAGTAACACTTGGAAAGCATGGCCCAGGCATCTATACGAATTATCCATATGAAGTCAGTTTCTTGCATAGGCTTTCCTCTAACCATTTGAGTAATTAACAAGCTACAACTAGACTATTTACAACAATATCAACGGAACATCCCATTTTAACTATTTCTATCAACAAATCCTAATTCAAATAATCTAATCAACCACAGTTTGTATTAATATATCTTCTCAATATAAAGAGCTCTCTTGGCATCAATGCAACATCATGAATTGACTTCTGATACATTTACCAAAAAAAAAAAAAAACAATCATTCAAAGTTCCATACTGCATAAAGTGTTCATATTCAGTATCAACTAAATAAAACGTGTAATTAAAAAGGCACAAAGATTGAAATTTTTACCTTGTGAATAAGATCAGGAAGTGACTCTCCAGAGAGGTACCGAGCAGCATTCATAGCAGAAGACAAGCTTAATCCAAGACTCTCCAAGAAAGCAACTTTACCATTATCACCTTTCTCTTTTGCCATATAAACCACCTTCTCTTTAAAACCCAAGTTTGCAAATTCATTTCCATCCCCACCATTTGTCCATAAAGTCCACTCTTCCAAATCCTTCACACTATCAACCAACATCTTAGCATATTTTGGAGAATTCAAAGCTATGAAATTGGATTCCTCTGCTGAGATTCCGAATTCTAGAAGAAACTGAGAAATGGCTTCTTGGGTTTCTGTAAAGTTTGCTTCTTGACCTTGCTCTTGTTCTTGTTGAGTGGTGTAGGGTAATGGATTGTTGTTGTTGTTGTTGTTGGGGTTTTGGCATCTGGGTATAAATTGGATTCTTTGGTGTAGAGGAAAGAGAGGGAATTTGCAAGGGAATTGGAGTTTGGGGTGGAATTTAGGAAGAGAGTGAGCTTTCGGAGATGGGAATGGGAAGTTGAGGGGAGCCGAAAGGGACTTGGTAGTCATAGTTGAACTGGATAGTGGTGATGCATCGAAAACTAAAACCCTAGCTGCCTTCTTCTTGCTTAGCTAAACCCCTAAAACCCTGACTTAGACGAAGAGAGAGCATGTGGTACACTGCAAGGGACGAGAGTGAGCGATGGTCGTTCAAAAATTAAAGGGCAAACCTCAAAAGTGTTCCCCAACTATTACGTTAGTAACAATTTTGCCCTCAAACAATATTTATATCCATTTTATCCTCCCAACAAGTGTGATTTCTCAATTGAGAATTCTATAACCTAAAGCCTAAAGGATATCTTATATATCAATAAATATTAAATATTTTTTTGAACGATTTTAAGGACTCATTAGAAAAATTTAATAAATTCTATATTAAATGAGGGTTCTAAGAGTTGAACCAAAATCATAAAAATGAAATAATTTTTTTTAATCATCGGACCAATTTATTGAGATTTAATAAAAAGATTAAATATCCTACAAAATGATTGTTAAACAAAAAAATTTACAATTTGAATGAAATTTTTAATCAACTAACTCAATGGACAATTTCTAAATTTCGGAAGGTAAAATTGAGATTGTCTATATGATTGGAAGTCATTTTGAGGTTTCCTCAAACAAAAGGAGAAAAAGAAAAATAAGAGTAATTACTTTCATTGAGTTAATTATATCTTAATCCCATTAATATTTATTAAAAACAATTGATTAATTCCTATAGCATTAAAAACAATTAAACAGTTTTATCCAAAAATAAATAAATAGTCCATTCTCCAATTTTTTTTTTTTTTTTTCAAGAAAGCTTTAGTTTAATCCCAACGTTTTAGCTTACAAGTGGTTCAAAGAGTAAGTAAATTATAAATTACCTAAGTAAATTCGTTCCAAATAAAAACTTTTTTTTAATTATTTAATCAAACTACACTTAATTTAATATTATTTTATTCTAAAAATCATCATTTTTTCTTTTAAATCTTTCCGTAATATCTATTTTATTCTTTTTAATTTAAAAAATTTAAAAAAAAATCATTTTTTCTTTTAAATCTTTCCATAATATCTATTGTTTTTTCTTTTTGACCTAAAAAAAAACTAAATATTTGGTTTTTTTTTTAAAAAAAATAGGACTAATTAGTTTATTTCTCAAAACTAAAGGAACTAAATTATAATTTACTGAGGAAATACATGCCACATCCAACAAAACACAAAAAATACACATTGATCATACAAAACATACAGCATGGCCAATATAGCATCTTTCTTAATTTCAAGAGAAATCAAGACCATGTGCCTTTAAGTAGGGGACTAGTAGGTACAATCTCTCCAAAAGTCCTAACTAAATCAGAACAAGAAGCTGGATCATCATCATCATCATCTTCACATTCTGTCTTAAGCTCCATTCCCAACTCCTCTTCTATGTCATCCGAAGCCGAAATCAACAACAACTCGCATCCTTCATAATTCAACATGTCTGGTGGATCAGCTGGTACAAACTTTCTGTGCCCCAATTGGCCTTGCAGGTGAGCTGGAAACATGGCCTTCCTCTTGTTCTGAAGTCCTCTAAACTGGGATCTGCCTCCATGTTGATCCGGGTTCTTTATTTGAATTATAAATGAGCCCTCGCGTTCGATGTTGAGTGATTCTTGAGGCTGGTTGTCCTTGTCTTTTGATGGCAATTCTAGCTTGTACACCAAATGAGTGTGTATTCTCTTCCCTGGATTGTGCCTTACTATCCGGTAAATGCCTTCTCCTACTGCTCTCGCCGGATACCTGTGCCGATGCCCTCTTGTCGCAGTGTCATATTCCCCTGAAATGAAACAATCAAATTGATGTACCATGACCATGGAAGAGCATAGAAACAACAATGCCATATAGCAATCAAAGAAGGAGAAGAATTAACAAAGGCAATATATATATGTATGATTCATTACTTTTATTACCTCCTTTAAGAGCATTCTTCACATTATCTATCTTTGTGGTGACCAAGTCTACAAAACCCCAATATGGTTGTCTTCTTTTCCTTGGATCTGGAAGGCTTTTACGTCCCATCACAATATACCTCAACAAGGGCTCTTTTTCAATGTTCACTTCCTAAAATCAAAGTATAAAAGGAGAATATTAATTGCACTTCCTATTAATTAACTATTGTAAAACTTAGTGTGGCTAAATGCGAAAATGCGTTCTTAAGATCGCTCAGAAAAGAGAATTAGTATGGGTTGATGGGACTTAGTCACTGCCTTGAGGATTATTATTCCTCACTAGTTAGTAATCTCATTACCTGGCTTGCTTGCCCACCGTCGCTTTCATTCTTGCCTGTAGAACTACTTCCACCATGATCACCCTTTTTAAAACCTTGTTTACCAGAGTGGGTGTCTTGCTTCACTTCAACAGCTCTCTCTCCAGACTCTGGCCTTAGTACCAAGTACAAACGTTGAACATCATCAGGGCTATGAACTTCTTCTTTATCAACTTTTGGCCTATAGAAGAAGAATATTTCACCTCTTTCCTACATATATATTTTACAAATTAGCCATAATATTATAGTCATATATATTAAAGAAAGAGAAAAGAGAAAGAGAAACAGACCAGAATCTCAACTTGGGCCTCACTTTTAGTCTTGACCTCTTCACCTTGTCCCATTTCTGTCTGTTTCTTCTTCATAACCTCAACTAGAAGAAGAAGAAGAGGATAAAGGATAGGAGTATAAGAACTAAGAAGTGTTTTGTACAGGAAAGAAACAGGACACGTCACACTCACCGTACGAGAAACTTCTCCAAGGAGACACGTTTCTCTTATGAATAAGCCACGTGGGGAACTGGGAACTGTCTTCAACTTGCCAAAAACGGTAACATTCACAAACCAACTTAAAACGACAACGTAGGTATTGGGTAATAACGACATGTCATCACCATTGGGAATCCTTTAATCTGTGCCAAAGTTCTAAACTTGATCACTGCATGTAGAGTTCTGAATTCATTCAAGACTGCTCAATTTGAACATGCCTTAATTTCTCTTGATTTCCATGTATCATGTCCGTAAATTGCTTCCTAATATTTGGGACTTTCATGCTTGCACCTTCTTGTCCAGTTTGGTTATGAAGGTAGTGCAAGGGGAAACAAAAATAGGGTCTTCTTTCTTACTCTTTTCGTGTTCAATGAGAATTGAAAGGAAAAAAATGATATCAAGTTAAAATGTATGGATTACTGTAGTTTAGGGCTTGTGGTACTATTTCTGGGGGGATCTGGTACTGGAGAGTCACTTGACCCTGCAACTGGGTCGACACTCGAGACAGTTTATACGTACGTAAGGATGAGTATCACCATAACCCAAAAGCCTAGATTAATGGATTACAGATCCATCTTATATATTTCAACTATGATAAGTGTGTTTAAGTGAGAATTTTGTTTTCTTTTTCCTGTTTCCCAGATTTTCAGGGTAGAGTAAAAGCTAGCAGAAAATGCATGTATTGGTTAGAAACATTTCCTAATAGTGTTCATGCATTTTCTTTGATGCATTTTGAATCCGGATAATTACATTTTATAAACTCTATATGTTCATGTCATGCCTGAACAAGTTGTAAAAGTTACAACATTTGAGCATGTAAGTATATAATATGTACAATGAAAACCAAAAGCAAAACAAATCGTTTCTGCTATTGGGGGATAGAATTGGCTTCTGGGGTGGAATCTTCCTAGAAATGTTGCTGCAAGAAAACTAGCATTGGCCTTCTTTTAGCTTTCTTGTGTTGGCTCTGCTTTTGTTACATTGCTCGTCACTTCCTGCAAAATGTTTATCCACAATATTTAGAATAAAATCTATCTATCTAGCTACCTACCCCATTTTAGTTGCGAAAATGGAAAGTTTATATGCCTGCTTCTACAAAACAATGCTCATGTAAATTCTTGTCATCCATTTATTTGATGTTTCTTTCTTGGAATTTGATGTAACAGTCCTTTTCTAGTTTTATTGTTTCTCCTCATTCTTTAGGAGTTTTAGCTGAGTTAAGTTTCTGTGTGTTCATAAGCAAAGGAAATGTGTCTGAACTGACCTGAGTTATTGAAGCTTGGCTGAGGTTGGTGGGAGTCATGGAAGTTTGGCTGAGATTGGTGGGAGTCATTGAAATTTGGCTGAGGGGCGGAGTTATAGAAGCTTGGCTGTGGTTGGGAGAGGGGCCAAAAGCGCCAGCGAAATAAAGGTAGTTCAACTTTTCTTCAGCCAACTCTCTCAGTTTTTCGAGCTCTTCCACGACTGTTGTGCCAAGATCTGGCCTGTCTTTCCGTCTCAGCTCTGCACATTGGAGTGCAATCTTTGCAAAACGTAAAGTCTCTTCAACTGGCCAATCAGGCACTTCTGGGTCTAGAATATCTTTGAACGTCCCATTTTCAATAGCTTGTTCAACCAGGTGAGTCAAGCCCATTGGTGGCTTGGCTGTTATGATTTGCAGAAGCATGATCCCTAGAGAATAAACATCAGATTTCACACCAAGCATTCCCGTTTGTTGGTACTCTGGGTCAATATAGCAGAAAGTTCCAGCAGCTGATGTCAAGTGGTACTGTGTTACATTCTCAGCAGTAGCAGGAACAAGCCTGGCCAATCCAACATCACTTATCTTGCTGGTGTAATTGTTGTCTAGCAAAATGTTTCCTGGCTTGAGGTCACGATGCACTAGTGGCTCTGGCTTGGTCTGATGGAGAAAGAGCAGACCTGTGGCTATCTCGGCTGCAATTCGGAACCTGATTTGCCAAGAAAGAGGTGGTGTATTCCCTCTCTTGAAAAGACGGTCTTCTAAGCTTCCTCTTGCCATGTATTCATAGACTAGAATACCGTACTCTGGGCAGGCTCCTAGAAGCAGTACCATGTTGGGATGCCGTATTAAGCTAAGCACTTCAACCTGCAAGGTAGAGATTAGCCTTTTCAATTCCATGATGGTCCTTGTCCTGTCTTAAAAAAAAATATGCCTCCATAACTTTGATTCAACTCTTTCATATGCTAGAGTCTGAAAATGTTATGCTTGTTGGTATTTTTCTCTTTCAATGTAAAACACCAGGCACCATTTGGTATTGTTATTTGGCTGCTTTTCGAAGTGTGTTTGTTTTGAAAAACCATCAAATTTTTGGGGTGCTTTTCAATGGTTTTGATGTAAGGATGTCAAAACCATCGAAAAGCGTCACTTTCGGGCTTTTTCAGACGGAAAACACTTTTAACCACATTACCAAACACACACGCGGTGGACAGGAGCGTTATTAACCAGTTTTTCTTTGTTCTCACCTCTCTTTGAAATTGTAACCTTCCTTGGGCTGCATCAGGACGTAAAACCTTGACTGCAACTGGTGTGTGATCAAGATAACACTTGTAAACTGGGCCATAACCTCCTTCCCCAATCTTCTTTGATTCCGTAAAGTATTCTGTTGCTGCTTCAATCTCCTCAATACTGTATCTCCTGTATCTGATATCGTTATAAGCTAGGTTATCCTTCGCTTTTTTTGTTTCAGCAGCTTCTCTGAGGGCTTTCTCTATGTTGACTCTCCTTTGTGCTTCTATTTCTGCTCTCTTCTTGGCTGCTTCAGCAGCTTCTATGGCTTCTCTGCACCTGGCTTTCTCGTGCTCTATAATTGATAATGCAGCTTCCTCAGAAAATCTAGCCTCTTCCAATCGCCGTTCTTCTTCTATTCTCCAGCGATTCAGCTCCGTTGCCTACATAGGTACCATTTTAGAACCTACTGGGAATCTTACAAGTGAACATAGCAAACATGACTTCTCGTACCTTCTGTTTTGCTGTAAGTGCTTCCCTACATGCTGCACCGTACAAGTCCATTGTTTGCTTCAACTCTAGTTTTAGCCTCCTCATCTCAGATTCCATGTCATCCTATGTGTTTACAATACAGATAAGCAGAAAGCATTTAGATCATGCATAGCTTTTGATCACACTTTGTGCAGTCTTCTTGACTTAAAACAACATATGAAAGATGATAAAGAAGTCAAAAATATGAAGTTGCTGTTTTCAATAATAGAAAGATGTAAGATTATGCTATAAGCTATCATGAGATTTTACTCAATCTTTCTATGTTGACCAAATAATCTAGATATTTTTGCAGAAATTGGTGTATAACCCAAGGAGTGAAACTTAAAATACATGTTCTTGACACCATTTATAGTATAGCCTGAATCATACAACTAGAGGAATATGATCTAACTGGACTAATTTTCCTAATAATAGAGAAACAATGGTGAAACTAATAACTCTAGGATATAAACATCCTTTATTTGCTTGAGTGTTTACTGTGTTTGATGGTTAGTGATGTTATTTACCTAATCGTGCTACTGTCAAAGTGGTTAATTCTTACCAGGCTGTGCGCTGAACCAGAAAATGACGTTCCTCCACTATCGTGCGAAATTGAAGAAAATCCATGCTGGGGGCTAGTGAACTTTGGTCCTGAATGTATAGATGCAAAGCTAGTATCTGAGCTAGTTGAAATCCGTGGGGTTAGTCCAGAATCCATGAAGTCATAGGTTACAGAAGACATTCGGTCAGTGCTTGGCCGGCTGGAGCTGACAAATGATATGTCAGTTTCTGACATCAAATCTGCAAATGATCTTACACTTTGATTTTGACCATTCTTTCCTCTTCCTAATGGTGATCTGTTGTTACCCACAATTGTATTGAGGTCAGCCTTTGAACAAAATGAATCACAGGCAAGAAATTATTACCAAGACATCCCAGTCTATCACTCCCTTCATAGATATTTACTGATTATATGTTCACATGATATCATTACCTGAAGGTTTCGTCAACTGACGGATGAGGCTTGAATGATTGCATCCTCTCTGTCGGCAAAAGACCATAAATTGGATTTTGGATTAGGAATAAGACAAAATAAGAAATGGAAAAGACAATATAATTTAGAGAATGAACCTGTTATACTCAGACTGTGTTTGTATTGTGCTTCAGAAGAATTATCTACTAGATTGTTTTCGTGCTGTTGGTTATGTATTTGATCTAGCAGTGGGGAGACAAATGGGGCAGCACGAGAAGCATTTCTCATGGTAGATACCTTTCCTTTTGAGACAACATACACAGTACAGAAATCCGGTGCCCCTCTTGACACAGTGGTTGGTACATCTGCTTTGAATTTTCTGTATAACAAAACCATTGGAATTCATTTATCAATTGTCATGTCTCTCATGACTGTTATTGTTGATTATGTTTCCATCTGTATGCAATTTTTCCTGACTGATCGATATTTTACTTATCAGAAATTGTCAATCAAAGTTCAGAGTTGAAAATATACAAAACTTCTGATAGTGTTCTTAAAGCTGAGACTCTGAAAACTTTGTCACCTACTTAGCAGCAAGAAATGGCTTTTATAGTGGTTGTGAATGCAATTGGAAATGCTTTTATAAGGTTATTTTCGTCTGAAAAAGTGCCAAATTGATGCTTTTTTATGGTTTATACGAGGATCTAAAAACCGTAAAAAAAAGCTCTCAAAAGGCATCAATCCAAACGCACTTTGAAAAGCACCTGAACCACAATACTATACAGTATCATTAACCTGTCGTTCAAGTAAAACTGAGTTTCTCTTCTGTTGGAAATAGTTTGTTCTTCCTGTTTCTTAGCAGATTGAAGGTACCCTGAATTTATATTCTGGTGGGGTGTGTGCAGGTAGAGTTTCCAAGTCAGGAGGGGGCTGGGGGCTGCAAAAGTACCTCATAAATCCACTCCGCGATGGAGTGCCGAGAACCAAAATCTCGATTGCGGCATGGGAAACATATTCTGTTATTGCTTTTGCTATATCAGTGCTCTCAAGAACAACATCAAGGCAATGTACCTGATACAAAAAAAATCTGCAAGTTGAATTGGAATGGAGAAAAGAAGGTACATTTTTTTATGCATCTATTTGCATAAGACATGAGAATTTGCAAAATGAGAATATGTTTATCTAGTGATAAGAGATGCCTCTAGATTTTAAGTTCTTTGTGTTCTTTGTGTTCTTTTCATGTTTTAGACGTCTTCCTTGCAAAGTGCCCAGAGATGCATATTTTTATTGTTGAAAGGAGGAATAACAATGGCAGGGCTCAAAAACTTACATCTTTACGGGTACAATAGCATCGAAATGTAAGGAAGAGATCCTTGACCATCTTCTCAATCTGCTGCTTCCCTGGGTGATTATCACCAGCTGCTCCATGGCCTGGTCGGGAAACCAAACAAAAAAAAAAAAAAAAAAAAAAGATGGGGAAAGAAACGATTAGAACATGAACCCTAGAACTTGAAAAAAACTGTTGAGAGATCAAAGGAGCTGCAAGACATTGAATGTCAGTTGAGCAACCCCCTTTCCTATGTAGGGGATATAAGTTTCAATATCATAATATGTTATTATTTTAGATAATGAATCAGAGAGAAAAGAATTGACCTGTAACCAATGATGGTTTGTTAAAAACATGGATTAGAACAACAGTTTGGCCTTTGGAGAGAAGATTTTCCACAGCCCATTTCAATGCATTTTGGCTCCCTTTGTCTTTGTCTATAGCAACTGCCACCAACCCATTTCCTTCTCCTACCTTCCTGGTCCCATGTCCCTTTGAAATCCACATTCTCTGTCTTGTTTCTCAACACTCAAAAAACTTATTTGAAACAGACTGGAAAAACCAATCCAAAAAAGTGGATCACAATTCTTATAGTTATTTACAGAATACCACCTGAGAGGCCCTGCAACCTCTCTTTTATCACTCTGGCGACAATAATTCGTTATGATGCCTTCTGGTCAAAGAGTTTTTTAAGTGTTTTGTGTTCGTTACCAGCAGAAATGACACCCCAATTTTGTCTCTGTCCTTGATTAGAAGCTTACCCTATATTTAGTAATGGCCAAGAATGAAGCTGTACCATTTCAAAACACGCACAAAGTTACTAAAAAAAGGATGCTTTTCGATATACTTTACATATGCTTGATGAACTCCATACCATTGTATTTTTTTTTTTCAAAAAATGGAAATGTTGACCTAATGGTTCAAGATAGAGAAGAATTTCACTAGCACACATGGCAGTTAAGCATGGATCAAAGCTTCACAATTCTCAAGATAATGATTTGCACAGGAAACCGGTAAATGGCTGAACTGTTAGCAGCTGCATGCAATACAAAATATGCTTGAATGGTTTCACCCCATTTTCAAAACAATTCTTATCTTTTTTTTTTCATTCTCGAAATGTTACCCGTTATCTTTTCATGATTCATGCAGAAATCAAAGAAAGAAATAGGTGGGTTTCGTTTCCATAAGATATTTTACGTTCCCTTTCTTGTCAAAGTGTGTATATATTAGCTTGTGATGTCAATTTTTTTGTAACCCAATTCAAGAAAAGATGGAATTTTTCATCGTAGAATGTATATATATCCACTTTCAGCTATATCAGAAGTCCTTATGCACTCTGTAATCTACTTAAATCTGCTGATTCTTGTTTCCAAATCTATGAATGCGTCTGATAGCATAGAGTTCTCAAATAATACAATTAGACATTTTTATGCCTTCTTGAAGAAATCTTCTGTTGAGGGATATTTGGTGATAAAGCTTGCAAACTTGATGATCAATTTGAAGCCTTTAAGGGGAAGGGAAACTTAACAGCATGGATTACAGGGCTTCCCTATGGAAAACAACTCCAGTTCGAACTTAAGAATGAGTGGAGAACATAAGCCTCAGATGCATTATGACAGGAGCATAAACTGCTGGAGAAAATCAAAGACATCGTAAACTAGCAGCTTAGGAAGCTAGAACTTGATTGCATTGTCAAGATGAACGTCAAGTTACAAGTACAAAGAACAATCTTAAGGTTTCCGTGTACGCAGAAATACGGAATGTGTATAGGCAGACCTGGTTTACTGTGATTCTGTATATCAGGTATTTTAATGTGGGGACAAAACACAAATGATGACCAAAAATGAATTGAATGAAAAAAGATCTTACAATTTTTTTTTCTTTTTTCTTTTCCTCTCCCCAAAACCCAAAAACATAAAATTCTATCAGCTAATCAACCCCCATTATTGCTTTACAACATTTTTTACAGTTGATAGAGGAAAGCTAACCCCAAGAACAATCATTCCACTCTTGATGTTCTTTACTGTGTGGGAATCCCAGGAAGGCTGTCAGACTCAGCCCTTGTGATATCGTTCTATATGCCTTTTCGTTCTTACTCGCCCATCATCGATCCATTGAGAATGAAAAACCTTCCTGATCATTCCCTCCAACACTAAATGCATTCCCTTCACTTCCTAAACATTCTTCGTCATCGTCTCCTTCTTTCAATTCCTCAATCTTATCAACGACTTCATTAATGTCCAGCCTTCTCTCTACATCCTCTTCACAACAACTCAATGCAATCTTCAACAGTTTTATCATTTCGCCTTTGCTATTTTTTGTTCCCAGCATTTCCTTATCAAACACTTCACTTGTTTTCTTTTCCTTCACCATGTTATTAACCCAAGTTGCTAAGTCTGCATCACTATTATAACTTGGTGTTAGATAGTTCTCAGGGAACTTGCCAGTTAACATCTCCAGTATTAATATGCCAAAACTCCATATATCTGCCTTGTTCGATGACCGGCCTTGCTGTGCGTACTCAGGTGACTTGTAAGCCATCATGAACATGTGGGCATGTTCAGGGTTGATCACAGGTCTTAGAGCATAATCTGTCAAGAGAGGCTCAAATGACTCGTCAAGGAGCACATTGGAAGACTTTAGGTGTCCATGAGGAGCAATAATAGGAAGCTCATTGTAGAGAAAAGCCAAACCCCTGGCTACTCCTCTGATGATTTTCAAGCGGATACGCCAATCAAGTCCATCTTCTTCCGTCGAATGATTTCCTGTAGAAGACAGGCACAATGCTGTAAGAACACAAAACGCTTGATGATTTCATAAAAAAAGAAAAAGAAAAAAACATTTGATTTCAGAGGAACTTACCATGAAGGTGAATAGCCAAGCTACCATTCTCGGCAAACTCAGTAACCAAAAGCTTCTCTTCCCTCCTATAATAATACGCTGCAAGAGGCAGCAAGTTTGGATGCTTCAACCTCCCTAGCCTTCTCATGTGTTCCTGAAACTCTTCTCTCCCCACATTGTTCATATGCCGATACCTCTTAACAACCACAGGTTGTCCAAGGACAACAGCTTTGTATGAAGATCCAAATGTCCCACTCCCCAAAACTTCTGCTGAGGCTGTAAGCAAGTCTTGCAAATCAAAATGATCAATATCATTCTTCAGGAAAGACAACTTTCCATGATCATTCTTCTTTGGCTGCGAACTACTCTCCGGCAGTTCACTATGTACATCTCTATAGTAGGAAGCCACCATCTTGTTGGAATTCTCTGCCGATGATGTCGTCCTTTGCGTTTGTCTTTCCCTTTTTTTTGGGGAAAATAAAAGCCAAGCAAATGCAATGGCTGCTAGCAGTAGCAGCACAATCAGCATAATGATTACAATATATAGAATGCTAAATTTCTTCCCAGGGGCTTTTGGGGTAGAAGGTGGTGGAGAGGGTATGCATGGCGCTAGAGGCGGTCCACATAGTCCTTTGTTGCCTGAAAATGATTTAGTTAAGAAAGATTTTCTCAGGAAAATGATTCTGAAGAAAGCTTAAAGATATATCATAAATAATATGTGCTTGGATAAAACAATTACCTGCAAATGAATTTGGACTCATACTGCTCAGGGCTTCTGGGATTGGACCATCCAAGTCATTGCTGGCCACATTTGCTGTCTTTATACCCTTCTGTTGGAAATTGGGCATTTGGCCCTCAAATTGGTTTCCTTCAAGCCTCAATTCCATTAACTTAGGCAAGGTACCAACCGACGAAGGGATCTTCCCTGTAAGCAGATTATTTGCCAAAAACAGTCTCTTTAATGAACCCATGCCTTCAAATGCGTTGTCAGGAATGTCTCCTGAGAATCGGTTATTTGACAAATACAATGCTTTTAACTTCCCCAGTTTCTTGATTTCGGGAAATGGACCTTTAAAATTGTTGTCCATAAGACTTAACGTTCGAAAGGAAGACAAGGGAGCAAGTGCATCCAAATCAATATTACCGCTGAGTCCCATGTGTTCAAGTTGCAAACCCCAAATGCTTCCATTCAAACAAAGCACACCAACCCAGTTTGATCTATCCCAATCACATGGATTCACTGAGGGATTCCAGTTGCTAATAGCCTCATTGTTTGCGAGCTGTTCCCTGAACTTTAAAAGAGCATCAGATTCTGGTGAACCAAATGATGTAACCACAATAGATAACACAAAAGCAAGAACAAGGAGGACTAATGATGAGGTGGTTGCGCGCGCAAGCATAGTTACGTGCGCAGCCATTACCATTAGTACAATGCTCAAGAATTCTCAAATCCTTGCTACTCTCTCCAGAATAATCAATTGTTAGAAGTTTTCAGTGAAACATTTTTGTCCTTCTTGGTCTTTCAAAAATGGAAAATGCAAACAGCGACGAAGTTGATGTGCACGCCAGGAATAGTAAAGATGATCAAGAGGCATAGATAACAATGGAAAAGAAAAATGCAAGGAAGTTGGTCAAGTGACTAAGATTTGCCTGTGTGACAGCTTAGAAGGGATTTGTATTTTAGAGGTTGAGGTGAAATACAGGAGACATCCAAGGCCAGCCTTCGATTTTACTATGATTATTAGTTGTTTTGTCTGTTATATTAGGCAGATATGCTAATTTTAGGTTATGTCTAATGTTGGACTCATTATTGTTTTGCCTTGCTATATCTATGCAGGCCAATATCTGATCTTCTTTTTCAGTTTCATGTTTGCCTTGGCTACTAAGGCACACTAACAAGAAACAAAATCAAAACAAATCACCGAAATCCATATTTACAGATGAAACTAGCTGGGAATGTAGATTATTCATGCCTAGAAAATAGATGATCAATCGCGTCGAAGGAGTAGTTGCTTTCATAAGCTTATCCACGCTAATTTACAGGATCAGAAAGATTGAAATTTTTTTATTAATATAATGATACATGGGATTATAAGAAACTTGATTTTTGGTTCAACTTTATACAAGCTTCTTTGAGCATATTTATTTTGACTTCAAACAAGCCCTTCCCCTGCCTCTGCCCCAACCCCATACGCATATGGGGTCTGTGCAGTGTGCAGTTTCAACATTCACAATTTTCCATCTTTTCTACACAAACAACTCTATATCTTTATCTTGTTGTATAAAATCCTTGGACTGATTCAAAGCTTCTTGGAAGGCAATGGAACATTTTTGCGGTATTCTGCCAGAGCCCATAAGGGGAAAACATTCTTATATGTAGGATAGTGTAACATACAGTTGTTCTTGAAAACTCCAGTAATTTCCTGCAGAAAAAGATTTAAATAATGATTGAACAGAATCAAGTGGGAAATTCAAGAAAATGTGAACAAAAATGGCCATATCAACGTATATATTGTTACAATGGCTAGGTCATATCAAGATACCTGCTGAGGGTAGCTACCGTCTTCAGCTTGAGAATTGATCAACAACTTAGCAGCACGGTGGAGTGGAGTCGGATCCCTATCCGCCTATTTCAAGCAAAAATCATTGCAAAAAGATTACTACATGACTTGAAATTTGGAAAGAAGTTTAACATGAAGCACAAAGCAAGTAGATGAAGATTCACTAGTACATAAGGAACTGACCTGGCCAGCATGAATCAAACCAAGCATAGCCCATGCTGTGTGCACATAAGTTGATCGCCTTTCTTCAAGAGGGGTGTATATCTGAAAAACGAAGCATAGAATTAGTCTTTATTCAAAGAATCTGTCGTCTTGACTAGGCATAATTCAATTGAAGAAATGAGGTTAATTACCTTGTTTGGGCAAGATAGGTAGCTCTCACCCCAGCCACCATCTGGAGACTGGACCCTGAGTAGAAAATCAACGCCTCTACGCATTGCTTGGTTATTATAGTACGTTTTTCCACCAGCTGCTAGCCCAACAAGTGCAAACCATGTGCTGTAAATGAAGCAAACTCCCCAGTTTCCATACCATGAACCATCAGGCATCTGAATGTTTTCAAGATATTCGATACCTCTTTCGATGAAAGTTTCAATTTCTTTCTTCCTATGTCCAGGGTACATCGTCATAAACATCACAAATCCATGGATTGCAGATGAGGTGCACTCAACATAGCTGCATTTTATGACAATGTAATCAGACTCGAGAGGAATTTAATATTTATGGTACAAAAGATGGAATTTAAATTGTGGGAAGTGAAAAAATCTTACTCATGCTCGATGACTATGTTCTCCAGGAATTCCATAGGATTGAGTTTCTAAGAACACAGAAAGGCCAAAAAATATTCAGTTGAAGGCAAATTTGATTTTAGAAAGAAAAGGAAAAAAATGTTATCGTAGAAGTTTCTACCTCTAACCACATTTCACCGCGAATCGGTTCCCAGCCTGCTAGACCACCTCTTGGTCCCTGAATTTATAGGACGAAGATCAAAATTCTGATACCGTTCTAGTATAAGTCATGTGAGGTACAGAAGAGTTGATAGCACAAGGCAGCCAAAATCTCTGAACTCACCTGTAGTGAAAGAATGATATTGACAGCTTCAAAGATCATCTGAGGATCCATCTTCTCACCAATATATTCTGTGGGCATCATTTGAGCAAAAAGAACACACTGTACAAAAGAGTATAAAATTCAGTGCTACCATATATAGTCTTTAAAAATTTTTGAAAACTTTAAATACAGTGATGTAATTTTAACCTTTAAAGCTTCTGCAGTACAGTCAGAAAGTTGCCAACCATGATCTTGATCAGAAAAAGTCCATGATCCTTTAGAAATGTGACGGTACATGCCGGCAAAGTCACCTGCTGGATTATCCACCACCTTCAACAAATTTCAAGTTCATTTTGATCAGCAAAGGCCACTAAATTATAGCAACTTAACCCAAGCATAGATTGAAGGTAAATGATATAGTAGTACCTGACAGTTCTTGATGAAATCAAATGATTTAGCCAGTGTAGGCTTGATCTCTTCCCCAAGCTCACTAGTATACAAAGCTTGAAAACCAAATGTAGCATCCCACAATTGACTACCAAAGCTCTGAACCTTCATGCCATCTTCTCCAACCCACAAGTAATCAGGAACCCTAGCAAGATGCCTCTTAAAAGCAACACCATCTGGATCTTCCACCCAACAAGAAAGCATGCACAACACCTTCTCGACACATCCAATGGTAATGTATCTACTGCTTTCATCTTCATAATGAATGTGCTTCATTGTCACTTCAAGAGCCTTCTTTCTGACCAACTGGTTGAAGGGCCAGCGAGTAAGCAGAGGCTCAGACATCAGATACAGACTATCCCAAAGGAAATTCTGAATCAAGGAATGTGGATAGTAGAGATCCTCCTTTGCACATAAATGCCTCACTTGCTTCCACTTCACACTTTCGAAAGGTTGAACGTACAGTTCTTCTCTCAGTGATAAAATCAAAGGTGTGATTGGTCCAACAAATCTTTTTCCATACAGATATGACATTGGCATGTAAACCAATCGGCAGTAGCACCACATTTTTGCTGCAATTTTTTTTTGTTTTCTCATTATTAATGACCATTATTATTAACTTGCAAATCAAGCAAAAACAATGAAATTAAGTAATTACCTGGATGAACAGGAAGGGAAGTAGGAAGAATCCAAAACTCCGGAGGCATTGGGTTACATCCAGACCAGTCAAAAAGACCAATAATCTATATATAACAAAATAAATAATCAATCAGAAGAAACATTAACCTAATATTCTTAAAATCATCGTAAATTTTTACGAAAACAATGGCACGACGATGACAAATAGCTTCAACATACCGAAAGCCAAGTCTTTCCCCAGGAGGGAATGGAAGTGACACCTCCACGATCAAGAATCCATTTTCTTCCTCTTACACAAGCTTCCTCATCTGGTCCAACCCCAAGCATACGTAGACAAATGTAGCTGAAAGTTGTGCAAAACATGTTGCTGTGACTTTCTATGTGCAATCCCCACCCTCCATCTTCATTCTGCATGCAACATGCACAATTATCTCGTATATATATACACACACACTAGATTTTTTATCTACATTAAGCTGCGAATTAGATAAAATATATAAAATTATTTAGAAAAATTATTTCAGTTTAATAATCTATTTTATGGTGTGAATCTATAACAATATATAAAATCAAAGGTAAAAAATAATTATAATTTTTTAATAAAAATTTTTGTATTTAACTATTTCTTATTTGTATTTTTTATATTTTTTTCTTTACAAAAAGTATTTATCCTTGTTAATCTATGGATTATTAACTAAAAAAAAATTAAATAATTTTTTTTAAAAAAAAGCTTGAGTATTTTATAAGATTGTGTCAAAAAAAACAAAAATAACGAGTTACTAAAAGCTTATATAAAATTAAACAAATATTTTTTTTTAATTTCATGTTGATGAAAATATCGATTTTTGAAAAAAATGTGAATTTAATTTTTATTAATTGGATGAATAATATTAAAATAAATCAAAACTATGACTAAATATAATTTTAAATTAACTGGATGAGAATTTATAAGGAATGAAAAGTTAATGAAAATAGTAATAAATGACAAACTATGAGTAGTAAAATTCTTTATTTTAATATATGTACTTTTTTTTTTTGAGAAATAAATCTTATGTAATTGTTAATTAATAAATTATGTTATATGATATTATGTGCTTATAGACATAATTATTTTTTCAAATTAGATATTTTAAACTTTGGAAATAATTAATAAAGGAAATAAATTTTTGGTTCCTTTAAAATTTTAGCACCCAATTAATTGTTGATTCCTTTAAAATTTCAACAATCAACATTATTCAGAAACGAAAATTAAAAAAAAAAAAAAAACCGTTCACTTTTCAGAAACGGAAATAAAAAAAATGATCACATCAAAAGAAAAATTAGATATTTTAAATTTTATAAATAAATAATAATGAAAATAAATTGTTGGTTTCTCTAAAATTTTAACACCTAATTAATTGTTAGTTCCTTTAAAATTTTAACACCCAACATTATTAAGAAATGAAAATTAAAAAAAAAAAAACAATTCAATGTTTAGGAGAAAAAAGAGAGGGCGTACGTTTCATCGTTCATGTGAACAATAAAGGAAAAAAAAATTTTTTTTTTAAATGTTCAGTGTTTAGAGAGAGAGAAAAAAAAAAGAAGGATGTAATGTTCATAAATTTTTTTAAAAAAATTATGAAAATAAATAATTTATTCGAAATTAATTAATTACCCGATGATTGTATATGTAACGAAAGACTTCTTTGCGGTACTCAAAGAATAATTGTTGGTTTCTCTAAAATTTTAAGACCTAATTAATTGTTAGTTTCTTTAAAATTTTAACACCCAACATTATTAAGAAACGAAAATTAAAAAAAAAAAAAAACAATTCAATGTTTAGGAGAAAAAGGGAAGGGCCAGTAGTTTACTTGTTCATGTGAATAATAAAGGAACAAAAATATTTTTTTAAAAAAAAATGTTCAGTGTTTAGAGAGAGAAAAAAAGGAGGACGTAATGTTCATAAATTTTTTTAAAAAATTATGAAAATAAATAATTTATTCGAAATTAATTAATTACCTGATGATTGTATATGTAACGAAAGACTTCTTTGCGGTACTCAGGAGGGAACATGGCATTAAGGTGGCCACTAATGTAGAAGCAAAACACCTACAATATTATTTAAAAGAATAATTAAATTAAAATTTTTTGAAATAAAATTAATTAAATAATTAATATAATAATTAATCAGCATTAGTAAAATTAGTTAGCGATACTTACAAACGGAGGAAGGAAAAAGAGGACCCCAGAATTTTCAGCAGGCCAATGGCCATCGCTTGCCTGTAAAGCTGAATAAAACTTGGCTGACCTCCTCAATGCAGTTGTCGTTTTCTCATAGCTCACCTCCTCCCCATCCTCTACTTTTTCTGCAGGAATTGTCTGCTTGAAATTTTTCTCCCTCAGAATCTGCACGAATAATTAAATTCATTTTTCACCCTTTAGTAACCAAAATATATAATTATGATATCATACTTTTAATTTAATTATTATACTTAATTTTTTGTTTTTTATAATTATTAATTGTCAAATTTAATCACACTTTTAAAAATATTAATTAGAAGTATTTTAAAAATGTAACAATTTAAAATTTTGATGAGATAAATATTTTCAAACAAATATATAAAAAAAAAAAGACAGAACAATTTCCTTATTGGTCAATTTCAACTCCTAGTTTACTGAATTTAGAGGTTTTAATGTTGAGTTATTTATTAATAATCAATTAATGCTGCACGAATTCTACAAATCAGCTGGGTTTATGGATAGTATAATAGTAAATAAAGAAATAAGGGAATATGGATCCATGCATGTGGTGTAGTTAATTTTATTTATTTTTATAGCAAAACCAGTGTCAACCCACATAATTATTGGTCTTATACGGCTAATGCATGGCGCAAATTAATTAATTAATCTTACACTAAAATGGGTGCTTAACTTTTAATTAGTGTTAATTAATGAAATCAGCTTAAGATAACAGAGTTATTCTACGGTATCAATTTATTTTATATACATGAGAAGTCAAAATCCAAGTCTATAGTATTTGAATAGTAATATTAAGAGGATTTTGTTTTCGACAAAAATATTGAATTTTTCTTCAAGCCCACCAGGTGACTTACTATTGCTATTCCTTTTTTTTTTTTTCCTACATCTTTTTTATTTGCAAAAATGCAACTAAAATCTCTTTTGATATTGAACTCTAGATGCGATTTTTTTTATAAAAAAAATTATGACTGAAATATCAAGAAAAATATTTTTTTAAAAAAAAAGAGAAAATATATAATTCGACTCCAATTGATGGACTACAACAATTTTATGGTAAAGATTTACAGTAATTAAAAATCATCAAATCTAATTAAACCTGTAATTATTCCAATACCCAATAACACAAAGAAAATAAGTCCAAATAATAATAATAAGAGGAAGAAGAAGATGCCATGGTGGCTTCTATATATATATATATATATATATATATATATATATATATGCGTGTGAGAGAGAGAGAGAAAGAGAGAGACTAGCTAATGGGAGAGGAAAAGATTTTAAAATCACAAAATTTAAATAAAAAACTCAATAATCAATAAGGGTTTTTTTCTTCTTTTTTTCCAACATCTTTTTTATGTGCCAAAATGCAACTAAAATCTCTTTTGATATTGAACTGATCTAGATGGGATTTTTTTGTTATTTTTTTTTTTATAACTGAAAAAATCAAGAAGAATTTTTTTTTTTTAAGAAAAAGAAAAAATATATAATTCGACACCAGTAGATGGACAACAACAATTTTATGGTCAAAATTTACTATGATTAAAAATCATCAAATCTAAACCTGTATTTATGCAAATACCCAAAAACACAAAGAAAATAAGTCCAAATAATAAGAAGAAGAAGAGGAAGAAGAAGATGCCATGATGGCTTATAAAAATTTGTCTAAACAAGAACATGTCATGGTGGTGTGTGTATATACGTGTGTGTGTGAGAGAGAGAGAGACTAGCTAATGAGAGAAGGAAAAGATTTTAAAATCACAAAATTTAAATAAATAACTCAATAATCAATAAGGGTTTTTTCTTTTTTTTTTTCCTCGTCTTTTTTATGTGCCAAAATGCAACTAAAATCTCTTTTGATATTGAACAATAGATGGGATTTTTTTAAAAAAAAAATTATAACTGAAACTATCAAGAAGATTTTTTTTTTTTTTAAAGAAAAAGAGAATATATATAATTTGACACCACTAGATGGACAACAATCATTTTAGGGTCAAGATTTACAGTAATTAAAAATCATCAAATCTAAACCTGTAATTATGCGAATACCCAATAACACAAACAAAATAAGTCCTTATAATAATAATAATAATAATAATAATAAATAAGATGTGATGGTGGCTTATAAAAATTTGTGAATTTTTTTTTTTTTTTTTTGAAGAAAATCATTATATCTTATAAAGTTTAAATAAAAAGAAAAGGAAAAAGGAAAAATTAATTAAATATTTTAAAGGAAGATGAGAATATTAATTATACCTGATATTGCCAAAGAAGATCAGAGCTGGGCTTGACCTTCGATCGGTTTTTAGTAAAATTCCGGCGAGCCTCTTCCACTTCTTCCCGCTCTTCGAGAGTTCCAGCCTTTGGATCATACTCCCATATCTGTCTTCCAGCATAATCATTTGTAGTGAAAATGTAAGGGTTGTTCCCTTTCTCTGCAATCTTTAGCCTCCACATGATACTCTCTCTTTACCTCTTAATTCCTGCATGCAAACCAAATTTGTTTCTTTGTTACCATGCATAGTTCTACCATAATATTTTTGTTTGGGATGGAAACTTTTTTTTTTCCTTTTTTGAACCCAAATTAATGAAGTTTTTAGCTATACAATATGCAATATATAGCTTGTTTATTCATCAAAATGGGGCAAAAAAAAAAAAAAAAAAAGCTTATTTACAGGTGATCAAGGGGTGCTAGCTACTTCTTTCTTTTTCTCTTTCTTTTTCATTGAAAGGAAGCCAACGAGAAATTGAAATAACCCAAATTAGGCATATATACTAAGTACTTTCTGTTTTTTATTTTTACGAGAATCGATCGATATATTAGAATGTAAAACTTCAATAAGAAAATAGCTAAAAAATAAGTTCATATAAAATACTTTATGTACTTACCACGTACACAAGCAGCTGGAAATGAAAGGATTGGAGTAGGGTTTCCCTATGAATAAAATGATGGATGATGAAGGATCAGTTGTAGTGATTATGGAGGAAAAATAAAACTTCAAGTACTACTTGTATCTTGAAGCTTAGGTTTTTGTGTTTGATGGGGAAAAGAAAAGCAAAAGGTGGTATTTATACAGAGGAATCGAAAGGGTTGAGCTTATAATTGATCCGCATCGCATGACTTTAAATAATATAAAGTAATTAATCAAAGAAACAAACAAACAAACCAAAAATGCCACTTTCCTTATTTTATTGCAGTTTTCCTTTTTTGAGCAAGCAAAAGCAGAAGTATGAATTCAATCCCTTAAAATCCTAAGGATGTATGGATGGGAAGAGCGTATCACATAAAAGCCTTGCCAGATTGAAATGGTAGAATGTTCAAGTAATCTATATTTTATTCTTTCTATGCAGTGATTCTAAATGAATTAAAGCTAGTCAAATGAAATAGGTGCAGAATCTGAAACACTAGTGTGTTATGTGGAAACTTAATTTTTTTATGAATTCAACCCCTACTACAAGAAAATTAGCAAGTAGCGATAGATTCCAATCTATCTCTAATTAGAAACAACTTAATGATGGATTAGCGATGGAATCTACAAGGTTAGTTTTTGCGACGGATTCGCGACGAACTAATGAGGTATCATCAACGATGACAAAAATTCCTTTGAAAAAAAATGCAAGGAAAAAAACTTCACAATCGGCGATGGATTAGCAATTGTTTTGCAGCCGCTAAATGACAAAATTAGCAACTGAAAAAATTCCATTGCTAATTTTACAAATTTCGAGGTGAAATATCCCAAAACACGGAGAATTTAGCGACGGATAATGAAATCCGTCCCTAATATTAGCGAAGTAGCGACAAATTTGATGTCCGTCGTTACTTTGGTCGAATTTGATATCCATCGCTACTTTGGCTAGATTTTAGGGGGAATGAATCCACCCAAAATGCAAAAATATAGCGACAAAAATCAATTCCGTCGCTACATTTGTTGTGGTAGCGATGGAATTAATTTCGTCGCTAATTTAGGGGTTTCCCCCCCCCAAAAGGTACAATTAGTGATGGAATGATGATCCCGTCACTAATTGGAGGATTTTTAGGGGAAAAATCCCTCCAAAATCCGTCATTACCCCCTATAAATACCCCATCTTCTTTCATCTTCCTTATTCCTCTCCTTCTCCTCTCGCCAAATAATCACGCCTCTCCACACCATCGAGTGACTCTCCAAATTGTTCAACAAAGTGAGGTGCTACTTTCTTCCTCAAATTCAAACCGGATCTATTCTCTCTATCTCTCGGATAAAACTTTCTCTCTCTAACTCTTATGTTTTTGTTTAAATTAAATAAATGTTAATAATTTTATAGATTAATTTTGTTATTTGTTAGTTGATTAATTATTTGAATGTTGCTATGTTAATTTTTAATTATGTTAAGTTGTATGTTCATTATTAGTGTAAACTTCTTAATTCTTTATTTAAATTACTTAATTGTTTATTTAATTTTCTTAATTGTTAGATTAATGTTGTTTAGTTTTATTTTTTTTAGTGATGTTATTTTTTAGGTTAATTTTATGTTAATGTAAAACTAAAAAAGTTTAATTATGTTAATTTTTTAGTCTAAATATTATTAATGTAACTTTTTAATGTAATTTAGTTTAGATTCATTTATAGTTAAATTAAAAAAAAAGTTATTTATGTAATTTAGTTTGAAAATTAAAAAAAAAAAGAATAAAAATGTATTTGGAAACTAAACATAAACGTTAAAATTTAATAAATATTTTATTAATTAATAGAATTTGATAAATTTTTTATTGAATTTCATTTATAGTTAAATTTTAAAAAAATTATTTTATGCAATTTACAAAAATTTAAATTAAATTTAGTATTAATCAAATTAAATTTAGTTGAATTTATTATTAAATTAGTTAGGAAAACTTAATAAAAATAAACATTTTAGCTTCAAAATATTTAAAATTTCCTATTATTTAAATTTTTTTAATTTATGTAATTTAGTTGGGAAATTAAAAAATTGGAATAAAATTGTAATTGGAAAGTAAACATAAATGTTAAAATTTAATAAATTTTTTTATTAATTAATAGAATTTAATAAAAAAATTTATTTAGGATTAATTAAATTTAATTTACTGGAATTTATTATTAAATTAGCTTGGAAAATTTTATAAAAATAAACGTTTGGAAATTAAATTTAGTTGAATCTATTTGGCCTAAGTATTTTAAACTTAATACTTAAATTTAAAATTCAATCAATTAATTCAGACTTATAATAATGTAATTAGATTATATAGAATGAAAAATCACATCTAAATTGAAAAATTGCTTCAATTACCTAAATTAAGGTTTGGCCCTAATAAGGCCGAATTTGGAATTTATGCATATAATTGATTCTTGAATGTTTAATTGAGTTAAATTATGTATAATTAAATGAAATTATATGCAAAATTGGTGTTGAAATTAAAAGTAAATGTTTGGTTTAGGTTAGGGTTTTTATTCGACCTATGGAAGAAAATGTAAAAAAAGTAAAACTATACAATAAATCATTGAATCTTATAAAGTCAAATTCTTATAACAAAATTCATAACTAATTAGAGACAATTATACAACTAATATATATGCTTAATATTTGTTTAAAATTCATAAGAATTATGATAAGTAATTATTTTCATTGGTTGTGTCATTTTTGTAGTAATTAAAAAAATGAGATCCGATCAGCAATGGATGAATGTTAGGTTAGTTAACGGATTGTTAAATGATGATTTTGTCGGAGGTGTAGAATAATTTTTAGCTTTTGTTGTTGAGCATCTTGAATGTATGGAGGAACTAAAATCAAGTGTCTTTGTAATTTCGGTAAGTTTCGAAATCAAAATTATGAAGAGGTTGAAACGCTAAAATATCATTTATGCCGTAAGGGTTTTGTGCTCGGATATTATGATTGGATACATCATGGCGAATTTGAAGGCTATATGGCATCCGAAAATTCTAGGAGTCATTATGTTTTCGAAATTATTATGTAAGCGAAGGTAGTTCTAGTAAACCCCAAAACCTATATCAAACTATAGTAATGGATGTAGTCGGTCCATTCTTTGATCCATCTAACATGGAAAAGGTTCCTAATCCTAACGCACAACACTTTTATGATATGTTGAATGCATCACGTAGAGAGATTTGACCTAGTTATGATGAGCACTTGTAATTATCAACGATTGCTAGAATGCCGAATGTAAAAGCCGAATGTCATTTTTTAGAGAAGTGTTTCGACCAATTATGTGAGTTGATGAAGGAGTTGATACTGGTTGATAACCGTATGGTAGCTAATTTTTATGAAACAAAGAAGCTAGTTAAGGGGATGGGTTTATCGGTTGAAAAAATTAATTATTGTCATAATGGATGCATAATTTATTAGAAGGAAGATAATGAATTAGATAAATACAGATTTTATCAACACTCTCGATATCGAAGTTTTCGTCGAGGATCGGGAAGAGAAAAACTTCTCTAAATAAGAAAATGTACTACTTCCTTCTAACCCCACGTCTACGGCGATTGTATACATCAAATACGACAGTTGAACACATGACGTGGCTGCCGAACATGGAGGAGATGATACAAGAGTAATGCATCATTCTTTTGATTCTATTGCATGACAAAGTTTCAATTAGATTAATCTTCTTTTTACAAACTGAGAGAAGGAATGTCCGATTAGGAGTGTGCATTGATAGGTTTCAACCATTTGGTTAATTCGGTGCACAATATTCCTCATGGCCAATCATTGTGACTCCATACTATCATAACTCAAATTTGGGTTACAAATTTATTATTATTATTTATTATTAAAAGAAAAAAAGTAAAAAAAAAACATGAATGTAAAAAAGAAAATTATAATAATAATAAAAATTATTTCTTTTATTAGGAGTTTGTTTCAAAAATTACATTAATAGTCAATAGGTAGATAATTATCAAGTCTCCTATTAAATTTTTAGGGATCGATGACGATTTATTTTATTTTATTTTATTTTATTTTATTTTTACAAAAAAAAACAATAAATAATTTTTTTTCGATAACTAAGATGTTCTTCGACACGCTGGTTGTGTCATGACTCAAAAAGTGGATCCGATGTTTGAATCGATGTGTCTCCCGACGAAGGGGTCCGACGATCGTTTCAATACGATGCCACGCTCAAAAAACAAAAAAATATATATTTTTTTGACTTGGAAAATTAAAGCTTTAAAACAAAAAATAATTTGACATAAATAAAACACTTTAGGAGATGAATTTAGGACTAAACTAGACATGGTACCTTTCTTAAGAAAGGACGTCTTTGGGTGATTTATATCTTCCCAAAGCATAATCAACTCCTTGCCTTAGAATCTCCGAACCAGTTTCCATTTTAGGTTCCTAGTTCCTTCAATACTAGGTGGTGACTCCAAACTTATAAATAACTCTGTAAATACACCAATCCTTAAATTTTTTGGGAGTCCCGTTCGAAATCGGGTAGCGACAAAATG